ATTAGACACAGTTCATTAATGTTCACTCATTCACATTCTTTGGATAATTTATTTATGTGATTCTTGCACGAACAAGATGCATCTTCATTTGAAATTGACGCCACATATTGTAGGAGATGATAGGATAAGGTTTTCTTCGTCGTTTGCCTAACAATGTAAATCATTCTCTCTTTCTTGTTCTGAGTAGATAATAGCATATGTGAGTTCTTAAAAAAGCATGAACATCCTGAAGAAATGAGTAAAACGCATAAGAAAAAGAGTATGCCTCTATTTCTACAATAAATTGTACTAATTAAGCTTCGTTCAATGGAGAGATAATTTGGAATTACTTCGATCTTTCAAATTGGTTAAAGCACTGGAAGCATTTTGGTAAAGCTACAAATTAAATAGTAGATAAATAGGCCAGAATTCTTCATAATTTCTCAGCTCGCTTGCAGCTAGTGTTAATATTTAAACGTATGGAAGAATATCAAGCTTTGACAGATACATTCGTCAATGAATAAAATAAAAGCAAATTTACTCATAAGAAGAGAAACGATTTCATCAGTGTCTACATCGTGTCGAACATTCATTCATTGATTATACTTTTAGTTGTAATAAAAAGCAATAATGACAATTATTCAACCATGCATTCAACTTTTGCTAGGCATGCCACTTTTTTCTGCGAGACTTCATATGATTCGTTGATGTCAAAGAAAAATCTATCATAGTGTGACTATTACCGGAACACATCTGCCATACGTTTGAATGCTCATTGAAATAATGATCTACAGTGTATGTCAAAGAATAAGCACGTTCCATAAAGAAAAATTTGAGATTTATGTTTTCTGTACAAACAATAAAAGAACGTTCGAAAATGAATGAAGAGAATACTTTTGAGCCTGAGGGTGTGGGTGTGGCTGTGGCTGTGGCTGTGGGTGTGTATGGGTGTGGCTGTGGCTGTGGGTGTGGATGTGGGTGTGTATGGGTGTGGGTGTGGGTGTGGGTGTAGATATGAGTGAGGGGGAGATATTTTGGATAACCGATATTGCGCACCCACACCCACACCCACACCCCACCAACACCCACACCCCACCCACACCCACCACCCACACCCACACCACACTCACACCCACACCCCACACCCACACCCACACACACCCACACCCACACCCACTTTCAATTTCGAAAGGCTTCTTAAGAATAATCGATGAACTTCTAAAGCTTTCTTGCAAAAAACACAGTACCTAATACTATAGAGAACTGATAAGTCTACGAGCTTTATCATCTATAATGACGAACAATCGCACAGCATACTGTTGTACATCTACTCAATGAGAAGTCTGATATGCTTTTAATTGATGTATAATATAACTACTTTTTTTTCTAAGGTATGAAGATGATTCAACAAAATATTCACAGAAAAAAATATTTGTACGTTTTTCTCAAAACTGATGTTTGGCCAAAACGAGAAAATTCGAACAAATTTTGTCTCACTATAGTTCGTTCTATCGAACGGTGGATTTTTTTATTCGATATATTAATGAATCCTCTTTCGGATGAGAGAAATGGAATTCGCACTTGACCCTTGGTATTGAAAAAAAAAGCTTTTCTAGAAAATCTTGAGTACAGATTTTAGAACTTTAAGGTTGCAAGAGTTACTAAAATGAAATAAAATAAAAATTTAAAAAAAAATCCTTTCCCTCATCCGAAGTAGCTAGGAGTTCTCTTTCAAACGAGATCAACCCTGAACGCTGTAGCTTGAAGTGTATTGAAAAATTTCTTGTTCCCGTAGAAAGCCCTATTTTACCCCTTGGTTATTCGAAATCTTTCAAACTCTAAGGTTGAAAACCCTGAAAATTTTTTTATATATGTACAACTAAGAGTCAAACATTCTCAGAAAATTTCGTCGAATTTCCACGTACACAACGAAAATCGATTTTGAAGGGGGGAAGCGACCTTAATCGACTTTATTTTCGTATTACTTGATTGGATGGAATCTCTGTGCATTATCAATGACATTTTTTAAACGATATTTGATGACATTTCTTATTTAATGCCAAGTTCTTCTAGCGATCAGTATAGTTTTTATTTTCTGTTTTATTTGCAGTACTTTTATCTACGGAGATCCATAAATAAAAATAAGCCTCTATTTAATTAGCAAATTGTAATCTAACAGAAAAGGAAAAATCACTAAATCGATTAGTTTTATGAATAGTAGAAGATGGTATCTGAAAATTTTTGTATATACCATATGTTTCTTTTTCACTGTTGTAAATGTATTGGAAGATGAGAGAAAGATAGTCAAAGAGTTATAAAATATGTTTCCGCTTATTTTTTGACGATTAGCTTACATATTTAATTATCATGAAAGTAGTTTAATCGATTAGTAACAAAGTTTTAATATTACTATAAAGAGAACACACAAAGTACTAAGTAGTAAAAATTCTTACATCATACAGTGTTCTATTAAGACTTTGATAGAAGTATTATGTCACAACATTTAGATACTACAGTTACTTTGTTTAGTTTTGAGATAGAGTAAATATTCACATGATGTAGTAAAAATTTGTTGTTCGTAGAAAATGATGATTATTTATATATTTCTCGAGAATGAATGTCATCAAGTAAGACTCTTTTATTAATATTCTATGAATTTCGGTCGAAAAAAATAGAACGAGTACTAAAATGAACATTCTATTCTAAATTAGAATTTCAAGTGAGTAATTTTGTGTCAATTACATTATTCTACTGGAAAATTTCAATTCAAGTTCTTGAAGAATTTTTTTCAAAATCGATAAATTTCAGAAAAAAACATTTATTCAATATCGAGAGTCTGTAAAAGAATGTCTACGAATTAAAATTTTGCACATTGTAACAATAAGATGAGCTGTATTTATAAGAGATGTATTTTGTTTCAAATTTTACGACGAGTTTCATGATTAAAGAGAAGAATTTTCTACAATACTTCGTATACTAATAAATATTTTCGTTCTTTGTTGTATTAATTCCCTTTTCCGTCGAATTTTGAACATCAAAATTCTTAATGTCTCGGTTATTTTATTTGCAAAACAAAAAACATTCATTGGATAATTAAAAGCTCTATTCTTTTATGTTCTTTTAATGAAATCTTTCATAAAATCAATCCTTCGAATTATCTAGTTAAATGTCGATAAAAGTTTATTTTAGGTTTCGTAGGTCGTACGAAATTCAAATTTTTCTTTTAACAAAATTCGAGTAACTTGAATTTTAAGTTCAATCTATTAGTTTTGTAGGTAATAATTGAGAGTTGTTGTTTATTTTCAAAAGAATACTAAAACACAGTAGATGTTATTCATTATTATCGTGGTGTATCCTATTACATCTGGATTTATTAACGACTGTGTATTTTCAATGAGATTAGAATAAAAACTAAAATTATCTTCGATGAAGAAAAATACATGCATGTACTGATTAATTTTCTCTGTCATTTACATTTTATTATGATAAGTATAAATCAAATTTATTCTTATGGTTTTAAATAATTTACAATACATGATTATTTAATAGTCTCATGTACAGAAAGTATTATAAGAATAGCGTTGTTAGAACAATTCATGCATATCATGATTATTTTAAATTATACTTATATACAAGTTTTACTTTAGAATGCATGAAGGAGTTTTGTAATTAGTAAGAAAAAAGTTCGAACGACTGCATGTATCATAGAAATATTATTATAAGCTGAACATGTTCTTTCTATTAATAATGTCACCTAAGATATCGAATCAAGTATTCTTTTTTTTGTTTTAGTAAATGAGTTGATCCATAGAAATTTTTTTAAAAATATCATCAAAGGATTATTTCTAAAATTTTTGTTAAAAACTGTTCGATAAAAAATGTTGAGTGAAATATTTTCAGATAGAAAAAGAAACTCGTCTATATGATTAAAATTGTGCAAAATAAACATTTTTGATCGACGATAATGTATATTATCTCAAATTAAATACTAGATTGGGGTGTGAGTTTGAGTTTATTTCCTATCTTTACAACGACTGACACTCACATCCACACCTTTCTCTTTGAGTTTAATCAAAATTTTGATCTCAATGAACTAACCGAAAATCAGAAAGTCAATGTGCAGAGGAACACCCACATCCCTTTAAAATATTTTATTTAATTTCGCATAAATCTCAACATTGTCTGATAGATCGATACTTTTTCTTGTTTTCCTGCTTGTTAACTTTGAATTCATGAATATATGCTTCCAACATGTTGTCTTGCTTTTCCATGTTATGCATTTACGTTGCAAACAACAAAAATTCCATCATTACAAACTACTGATGAGTAATAATATCAAAATTATTCCATCAACATAATAAGGGTGTGGGTGTGGGTGTGGGTGCCTTTTGAGTAAGTGTGAGTGTGGGTGTATGTGTAGATCATTGCTTACTGACATTCTCAGCCATTCACCCACATCCACACTCACACTTCTTAAACTGGATACGAGAAGAACAGCAAATGAGAAAATGGAGAAGAATATGTGAGCAAATGCATATGTGTGTAAATTGAGAAAGGTTTCAAAAAAAAAGAACTAGTAAGGAACACATAATGAGATGTAAATGAAATGGTTAAATTTTCACTTGTTTATTTTGAAGTATTATAATAGGGTATTGTTAGAACTATGCCACTGTTCAAAAGTCAATCATCAAAATAAAACATAGAGTAGTTTTCAAGAGAGAAAAAAAAAGAAGATAATATTAAATAAATCAGGAAAGATAAAATTTATATTCGAACTAAGATTTTCATAATTGCAGTCGACGCATACTATTAAAAAACAACTATGAAAAACATGCTTAACGTATTAAAATAAGCGAAAATCCACTGCAAATATTTTAAAATGATAAAAACCTCTGTCTTAACTCGTTTATTTGTTACTATAACAGTTATTAGTGTGCCTGGTTAATTGAAGAGTAAATATTAGAATATGATGTAGGAGTTCAAGTTTGAGTCTAATACATAATATTCCAGTCTAATCGTGATTATCCATATATTTCTGTACTAGATAGATAATCACTGTTACTGCTTATTCCACCAGCAATTAGAACTTTTCCGTTATCAAGTATCGTTGACGTATGAAAATATCGTTCAGTATTCATGCTGCCAATCTGAGACCAAAGTCCAGTTGCTGGATCGTACAACTCTGCACTATTTAAATAGCCATGAAGTCCGTTTCCGCCAGCAACTAACACTTTTCCATTACTTAGTGTTGATGCTGTGTGATAGTGTCGTGCAGTAATCATATTGCCAGTCTGAGTCCAAAATCCAGTTGCTGGATCATAGAGCTCTGAATTCTTTAAATAGCCATTAGAGTTATAACCACCAGTGATCAATACTTTTCCATTAGTTAGTATTGATGCTGTGTGAGAGTATCGGACAGTAGTCATGGTACCAGTCTTTGTCCAACTTCCAGTTGCTGGATCGTACAACTCTGCACTATTCAAAGGACCATTAAACCCATAGCCACCAGCAACTAATACTTTTCCATTGGTTAGTATTGATGCTGTGTGCAAGTATCGGACGGTAGTCATGGTACCAGTCTTTGTCCAAAGTCCAGTTATTGGATCATACAATTCTGTACTGTTTAAAAAGTCTTTAAAGTCGTATCCGCCAGCAACCAATACCTTTCCATTGTTTAGTATTGATGCTGTATGCGAAGATCGGACATTAATCATTTTACCTGTCTTTTTCCAAAGTCCAGTTGTTGGATCATACAGTTCTGTAGTATTTGAAAAGTCATCAAATTCGTATCCGCCGGCAACCAATACTTTTCCATTGCTTAGTATTGATGCTGTGTGCGAGAATCGGGCACTAATCATGTTACCAGTCTTTGTCCAAAGTCCAGTTATTGGATCATACAGTTCTGCACTGTTTGAAGAGTTATCAAAACATTCACCACCCGCAACCAAAACTTTTCCATTGATTAGTTTTGATGCTGTGTGACTATGTCGTGCCATAAGCATACTGGCACTCTTCGACCATTCTGAAAAGAATTGCTTCAATATAGTTATTTGTGGATTTGTGTATAAACTTTGTGTAAAACTTTTATAAAAAATAACTCTTTGTTTACATTGATGTTTAGATCTCCTAAGATCTCCATATCTCTAAACCACTGAAGAACATCGATAACCTTGGATGAGAGAGGTGCTCCACAGAACGTTTCTCATGTGACTATTATCTTATTAATTCAATCGGGAGTAGCTTCATGGAATATCGTATCGATAGGAAGTTTAGATGTGTATATAGGGAATTTCTCGTATGTTATCGAAGCATTTGCAGGAAAATCCGAAACTAAAAGTCATAACGTTTACTTATTTTATGACGATGTTGCCTAGAAACATTATTTATACGTCTCAACCAACATGAGTTAGACTTTTCAAAATTTTACTGAAGATATAATTTAGAACAATCAACTTGATCATAATGCTTTTTAATATTTAATAGCTACCGGAATAATTTTTTTGGTTACACTCTTTCTTATGACTAAGCTTTCAAACTTGCTCAGTTCCATAATAGAATTATTACAAGTCTACCAAACATACAACAGCTGAATTCAGGTTTTTTTGGAAGGAATTCATAAAACTAGTTGTTCTGATTTTTAAAAGCGATGGCTAATATTCGGTTTTCCTGCTGTTGTCAAATTGAAATACAAAATAATAAATATAATCAAATCTATAATGACGATTAGAACATCCAACTATTTTATAATAATCACCTTTTTATTTTTTCCGAAAATGGAACGAATCATGGTTGTCATGATCTTGCTTGACGTGAACTTAATGGAGAATATATACGTGATGCAGTGTCAAGATAGGATGTGGATGTGGATATGTATCAGTCTTCTCTTAATACACTTACATTTCTACTCACACCTACACCAACATTCATGCTACTTTAAAGTGATTCCAGAGGATAGAGCTCGTTTACTCTTAGCAATGTCGTGCAAATGATGTCATTCTGATGTCCAAAAACGTGAGTATCTTTTATGAAGAGAAAAAAATCTTGTTCAGGGCGGGCTGAAAATTAGACACTGTTGCGAAAAAGCTTCCTATGCTTCACGATGATAATTAATATTAACAATTTTTATAGAGTATGTAGTATGACGCGAGAACTATCTTCTGACGAAAAAAGAAAAAAAGGCTTTTCTTTCTACTTCACAAACCAAGATGCATTAGTATACCGGTATACTTTTTTAACTACATGCAAATATGCCCAATGGGCGAAGTACAAGATATTCATCTCCGCTGTATTCAAACTCCAGAAAGAAGATTATCTCGAACAAATATGGAAAATATAAATTTTGCACGAACGAAAGCTTTTCAACTTGATGAACCCTTTCCTTAAAAACTCGGTTCCTTTCAGAAGGTTCCTTGCTACGTGCCTGATTAGAGAAATTATTTATGTGACATTCTAAAGAGTCTGTGTATGAAGGCAGCATTAGATAGAAAATTGCATGAAGAAATCGATTCAAACATTCGTGGATTCCCATAGAGTAACACTAAAAAGTTGCTTACTAACCTCTCATTGACCCTGTTGTTGTTGTAGTCTTGGTGGTAGTGGATGTTGTCGTGATCTTGGTAGTAGTTGATGTTGTTGTAGTCTCGGTAGTAGTTGATGTT